TTAATTATTTTTTTCGGTGAAGGGATTTTCATCCAATCATATGTTATCATATCATGTATTTGTAAATCAATCCGTAAATGATGATGTACATGCAGTACAATGGTAAAAAATTACTTAAAATGAACTTTTTATTTTTTAAATAATTGCACATTGCACCAAATACAATATAGAGATAACACACATTCATTTACCTTAATAAGAGCTTGTTTGGTTTAGATTTTAAGCCAATTAAAATTAATTTTTTTACTGTTATTTCATTATTTCAGTCGTTATTTTTGAATTCTTCTGTCATAAGTAGGATAATTTTATCTCTAATTATCAAAAAATTAATTATCAAAATCTCTACCAAATAAGTACTAAATAGAATAATCCAATAATCCAATACGATTCACATATATAGAATATTTAACTCTGAATTGCGGGAGAAGTCAAAAGAAATTAGTCCGCAATATCGGCCCGGCCCTCACATGCACTTCGTAGACGAAGTCAACTGATAGGAACAGTGAACGTGGAAGGTTCTGATCCAAATAATTGACGATAATGCCTTCCATCAAAATTAGAAAATTTCAATCCAGTAATTCGTGGTAGGCAAAATTTGACTGGTTGCCTACGACACTTACCTATGATTACATTTCAATAGAACAATAATGATATTTATAATGACTGGTGTTGATAAACGGTGTATTTCATAATCGCTACAAAAATTTTATTTTTTTCCTATTTTTGTAGGAAAAGGTTATTTTTTGTGAAAAATAAATAAATTTGTAGATGAAATAATTTTGTAATCAAATTTGTAGGGCAAACATCGTATGTATAGGTAAAAGACAACAAAATTTTGAAAGTGAAAATTACATGAAAACCTACTTTTAAAATTTACATTTAAAATTCAAATTTAAGATTTATTTATACAAAAATTAGATAATGATATAATTTTTAAATATTAATAATAATAATTTAATATACATTATCATAGGGCTGAACAACAAAACCGTCAAACCGCAATATCGAACCGAAACCGTTTTTTTGAAACCGTTGGTTTGGTTCCATGTGGATCGGTCAACGTTTAGGTTTTAAATCAAACCAAACCACTTTGATGTGGCTTGATTTAGGTTTCAATATTTGCAAACAGTTTCAAACCGTCAAACCGTTTACCAAACAATTTTAAAATAAATTAGTCTAAATTTTATTTAACCCATTAAAATTTGACACATTTCAGTTAAAAAGATATATCCATATTAGACATAATTCAATTGAACTCAATTCAACAATTTCACATCTCAATTAATTAATTAAATCTTATCCAAATATCTATTAGTCAGCAAAACTATGAATATAAAATCATTAAATTGGGTAAAGTGTTGAAAGCTGCTAAACCATATTCATCGATTATCCATTATAATTGAGCAGACAATTAAATTTAGATTTTAATTCAAACTTGCACATTTTATTTCCTTCTACTAATAATCTTCTTAAATTTTGCCTAAATTCAAGTCAAATTATCCAAATTCTTTTATTTTTTGGTAATCTTTTTCTATGTTTTTATGGGTAGTTATGTTGTTTTGTTCTAATAATTATTGGGCTCCCTTAAAGTAATTCAATAATATTTGGATGGAGTAGAAGTATTGAATAATTCACAAAAAGTCACAGTAACTAAGTATTATTATATTTTATTAAGTATTATTATATTTTATTCTTTTATTAGTTATTTTATATCATTTAACTATAATCAATGAATTCATATACTATATTTTTATATTTATGAAGAGAATGAATCGTGTATTACAATTGTAAATGGATGTCATTAGTATTGATTAAAAGTTTAAAATATTTATGTCATGTTGTTGCATTATAATAATTATAATTATATAATTTTGATTTATACATTTTTTAATAATACAACTTATAATTTAATGTGAAATTTTAGACTAATATTTAAAATTTAACTTATCTGATATATATATTAATTTTTTTATTGTTAAACCGTGATTTTAAACCAAACCAAACTGAAAAAAATGGTTTGATTTGGTGTGGTTTGGAAAAATTCCAAACCGCTTTAAATGGTTTGGTTGAAAATTTGTCTCAAACCGTTCAAACCAAACCTTGGTCACCCCTACATTACCACTCCACCCCACCACTACTGCAGCCTACCTACCCCACCGCAACTTCCACCCCCACATACCTCATTTACAGTTTCAATTCATGCCTACTACACCTATGGTGCAACCACTCTCAAGACACTTCACTCCGACGACTCTTCACGACGATTCACTCCGATGACTCCTCTTCTCTTTGTAGGAAAAGGTCATTATTCGTGGAAAAAAAAATTAGTAGACGAAATAATTTTGTAGTCAAATTTGTGGGGGGCAAACATCGTATGTTTAGATAAAAGACGAAAAAATTTTGAAAGTGAAAATTACATGAAAGTCCACTTTTAAAATTTACAACTTTAAAATCAGATTTAAAATTTATTTATACAAAAATCAAATAATGATATAATTTCTAAATATTAATAATAATAATTTAATATACATAACCACTCCACCCCACACCCCATCCACCCCACCACTATTGCACCCTACCCACCCCATCGCAACTTCCACCCCCACAGACCTCATTTACAGTTTCAATTCATGCCTACTACACTTATGGTGCAACCATTCTCAAGACACTTCACTCCAATGACTCTTCACGACGATGACTCTTCTCTTCTCTTCTCTCTTTATCACCATCGAAAGACCACCACAACGGTGTCATTGCCACATCGGTGCTAAGGTGGCATCATCACAACAGCGACAATCGTAACAACACTAGAGTTGTGATGTCGTTTGTAATGGTTCCAAGCTATTCTAGGCAGCATTGTAGTTCCAGGTTGTAGCAGCGTTCACAACACCACTGTTAAGCATCAATGTGTTCGTCGCGATGATCACCGTGGTTTTGGGGTGGTCAATTTGAAAATGGAAGAAGCAGCAATGTTTGAGGCACTGATTAGTGCAGTGTTCATTGCGATGATCACTGTGATTTTGGGATTATCAATCAGAAAATAGAAGCGACAGCGACTTTTGAGGCTCTGATCTGTGTGGTGTTCACCCAAGTGGTGGTGGTGGTGTCGATGACAATAACGGGTGTGGTGATGTCTATTTGTTTTATGGTGATCGTCAAAGCCATCGTGGTTGTTGTGGTTGTACGGTGATTTGGGATGAGTTTTTGTGAATGGTGTTTACAAGTGAGTACGGCGGTGGTTTGGGGATTTTTTTGTGGGGATTGTGGTTGTAGTGTGGTGGAGATGAAGATAGAGGAGATGGTAGTTGTGATTTTTGGTTCAATTGATGGTTATGGTGGTGGCGGCTGTTATGGAGATGGTGGTAGGTGGTGGTTGTGATTGTGGATTGGTGGCGATGGCGATCGTGGTGGTGGGGGTGACGACAGCAACGATGATGGTAGTTTTAGGGATTTTTTTGGTTGGTGACGGTGGTGGTGTGGTGGTGGAGATGGCGGTTTTGATTGTTAGCATAGGCGGTGGTGGTCTTAGTGTGGTGAGATGATGGCTTTGGTGGTGGTGATGAGACCATGTTGGGTTAGGGTTGTATAAAGAGAGACTATAACCAATTACTTAGTTATTGTGACCAATAAATTAGCTAATTTGTTACCAATAAATAATATGTGACCAATTACTTGATATTGTGACCAATAAATAACAAGTGACCTAAAAATTTGAGTCGTGACTTATAAAATTGTGATTTGTGACCGATAGATAAATTGTGACCTCTAAACTTTTTTATTTGTGATCGATAGATATATTATTACTTAAAAATTTTTTGATTTGTGCGATGAATAAATTGTAACTTATAAAATTTTTGGTTTGTGATAGTAAAATAATTTATGATCTCTAAAGTTTTAGATCTGTGATCGATAGATAAATTGTGATCTATAAACTTTTAATTTATGATCGATGAATAAATTGTGACCTATAAA